CAGGCGTGTGTCCCGAGACTCGAGACAAAAGTCGGTGATCGAGCGACAGCGATTCAGATAGTCGCCTTTGTTTCCTCTTGTTTTCCTTGCTTTTCCTGCTTTCCCGTGCTTCATATGTACTACTACCATCTTGAGGCAATTGCCCTTACTCATCGCGATCCAATGTAACACAAGTGCTCTCTCTATTTTGCCGTTCGGAAAAATCTCGACGCTATACAATTGTTAAAGGAAGGCCGTCGTCACCTAACAGGGATTCCTCCGGGCCCAGTACACGAGGGCCACCGCCGACCCGCGTGTGGATGAGGCCCTTGACAGATCCGCGCTCCCATTTCTTGGCGACACCGGCATTGAACCCGGTCACGAGAGCGCCTTCACCAACACCAGCACCCTTGAAGAGGTCAAACGGATCCTTGAACGCGTCCTGCTGGGGGAAGTAGTGCGCGATCAAGTCGATGATCTCCTTCACATTGGGGGCAAGTGTGTAGATGACTGCGTTGGGCCCAGCGTCGTACGTGTATGCGGCCTTGCGCTTGCCACCGTTCTCGGGGAGGAGCGCCAAGCGGTTGTACTCCTCCACGACAGCGATAATCGCACGGCTCACGTCGTTCATGTAGAAGATGGGAGGCGCCGTGTCGAGGGCGACGGCGTGAAACTGGTTCGAGTCGGCCATCGTGATCTCGGCGAAGCGGTCAAAGTCGCGGGCGAGAATGGCGGCAGAGATGTCAGCCATGCGCTGCGGGACGACGTGTTTTATGCGATGCTGGAGAAGGGCGGAGGTCTCAACGGTACGCTGCATGCCGCTGGTCGAGCTGGTGCCCTTTTTGGTGTCGCTGACCACGCAGATGAGGGCGTGGATGTCGGGCCAGTGTGTCTCTGGGGCGACTTGTACTGCGTGCGAGTCGAGGCCGGAGGGAAGAGTGCCAGCGTTCCATGCGACAAACCCACCCAGAAGGGATCGGCAGGCTGAGCCGGAACCTTGGCGAGCGATGAGGGAGAGAGTCGTGGGAGGGGAGGGGAGAGCGTAGAGTGCGGCCAAGGACGAGGTGAGAGCTGCGAATCCCGACGCTGAAGAGGCAAGGCCCGCAGCGGTCGGGAAGTTGTTGTAAGATGCGATGTGGACGGCGAACGTCGACAGCTAAAGATGGACGAGAGATTCAGCGACCATTAGGAAACTAGCACAAAGCAGCATACTGGGGAGCGGACGCGTCGACGTCTTCAACGAGTTCTTTCCGCATCCGCTTCATTTCGGAGATGCATGTAGCCATGCGGCCTTCAGCCTTGATGTCCTCCTCGATGCCATTCAGCCACAGACGGTCTTTCTCAAAGGCAGGATCTGCGCGGGATGTGGTTGTGGAACGCAGATGGTCCTGGTCGAGGGTCACGGACAAAGACGAGTTTGTGGGCAAGATGAGTTTGGTGTCGCGTTTCCCCCAGTACCTGGATCGTAGTGAATACAAGCTTTTAAAGGCAAGCAGAGGGTCTCACTTGATGCACGCGATGTTCACGGGGGCGGAGGTGGTTGCAATGAACGGGGCCATGGAGGGAGAGAAAGACAAAGGCCGCACACAATCGTACGACATGTTATATGTCTCACAGCGGATTTCACCGGTTAAAGATAAAGAAGGCGAGGCAGCGTTCGGCGGGGTAAGATACGGTCGTGGATGCGGCGATGCTGCAGCGTAGCGTAGTCAAAGTGCGATCCAGCGAGGGAGTAAGCCAACTCGGCATTTTGCGGCTTGCTCTTGACGCTCATGTACGTTCCTGAAGAAATAATCTGCCTCATCCTCGGGCACGTTTACTACAAGAATCCACCATTCGCTCGGCCGGATTACCCCACTCTTCTCGCGTCCGCACTCGTTTCTTCACACTGGAGAGTTCCCTCACAGACTCTCTTGTTCCGCCGCATAACACTCGAGGCGGCCTCGGCTTTTGGCCAGTTTGCAGACACAACGAGCAACCGCGCTCTGTTGGGAAATGTCCGCAGTCTCGCTATCGCGCTGTCCAGTCCAGTCTCGACCTTGATCTCAATTCTTCGTCACTGTCCCCAACTCTACGAGCTCAGCATCAGCGCCCGCGGACTCTTCTCGCTGGGTCCCGTTGGGACGTCGAGAATAGCTGACGCCGTCCGCGACGCGTCAATAGCCATCCGCTCGCTGCACTTGACGGACTGCAGTGTGCAATCCCCAATTCTCTACGAGCTCCTCGAGCTCTTCCCCACCGTGGAGTTCTTGACCCTCGGTGTCGAGATTGGGAGGGCGCCACCGACATGGACGCCAACGTTTCAGCTGTACGAACTCACGCTCCACCGGACACCGTCCTCGGATGTCCTCTTGTGGTTACTTTCTACATCGAACACCTCTCTTCGTATCTTGGAGCTGCGTGACTTGCCCAGTCCCAGCACGCACTTGGACCTGGCGATCTGCTGCCCACATCTCCAGTCCCTCCGGCTCATGCGATATAATAGCCACAGTGGTGCGATTTTGCGCCAGTGCACCAATCTGCTGGAGCTGGTGCTTTTGAACGTACCAATGTTTTCTTCCCTGCGGGAACTCCCGCCCACGCTGGAACATTTTGCGTTGCTCATCCAGACGTACACCGCAAGCGTCGATCTCGGGCTGGTGATTTCGGCGGTCAAATCGCTGCCGCGCCTCAGAGTTCTCACTTTTATTGGGGACTCTGAGCAGATTCCGTTGCTGCAAGACACGTGCAACGAGAAGAACGTTGTCTTGAACGCCAACATGCGCAAGTTTTGGATCGTGAGTTTTCTCGATGTTTTGTTTTCATAATAATTTGCTCAAACTCTGCCTCAGAACGACGATCCTATCAAGACGACACGATTCCCTCGCCGCCGGTCGGTCTCTAATTTCTATCTCATGAATTAGCATAGACTTTAGTAGCCTTGTAACTGTTTTTATGAGACCTCGGAAGGCTTTGGTAATAAACAAGGGCATACCCTTCAACTTTTCTGATTTAACGGCGATGCTTTCTGCTTTACGCGCTGGTCGACGAATATCCGCGCGGTCTCTACGGTACTTCTCCGCGACGCCGTCTACGTCGTTTGCGGACCCCCTCCAAGTCTCTGCTCCCGCCAACCACCAGTCCTCCTCCTTATGCCAGTCCAGCAACTCCCGCCATAGCTGGGACTGTCGATGCAACGCCACCACCATCGGGAGTAGAAGTCAATCCCCGCCTCTACCGCCTTTGTTCCGCCCTCCGCACCCCAGTTGTCGCCCGACCACGGCCTGTATGGCTTTTTCCGGCGAAAGGATGGTCCCCACCTCCGCGGTGACGACCAATATGAGACCTTCACGGACCCGCTTATTAAATACACGGGTTGGCCCTCTGCTGCCCGCTGTAGAAGCCCTGATTGATATTATTACAGGACGGTCATGGGAGGCGTCGGAGCTGCGGTTGAAGAGCTTCAAGGATCTGCACACGCTGTGGTACGTGCTGTTGCGCGAAGCAAACCTCCTTGCGACCCAGCGCGAAGAGATGCGGCAGCTAGGAGTCCCGCGTTATGCAACGCCGGAGGCCAACAGGGTCAATTCCGCAAAGGTGCGTCGCGTCCCCTGCATCTATTCCGCGCTGACGCGATGTTGCAGGTGCGCAAATCGATGGCGCGCATCAAGGCGGTTATGAACGAGCGCCGGCTCGCGTACGAGGGCGCGCTCGAGCTTGTGGAGAAGGAGCGCGATGAGGGGGTGGACGCGGAGGTGCTTCAGGCCAAGGTCAACATCGAGACAACGGAATGGCATAAGCAGCACGCGCAGCAGGTGCGGAAGGGGCTCGTTCAGAAATCACCGAACCGGGCGGGAGTCAAGGTGCGGGCGAGAAAAGTCAAGCCGGAGGTGAGCCCGGTGGCGGAGACTGAGGAGAAGAAGGAAAAGAAGCCGCGGTGGACAGCTGCGCAGAAGCGGGCTCATGCGCTACACAAGAAGCGGCAGGCGGCGGGCACACCCGGCGTACCGACTTACAAGAAACAGCGCCGTCTGAATGTTGTATAATTAATTTACAATATCTACTCGGTGCTCGACTGCAGTGTCCGTTTCTTGCGTTGTGTTTCCTCCCATTCGCGCATCTCTGAAGATACGAAGCAGTCCTTGACGGACTTGTCCTCGTACATGCTCACTTGACGTGTCCCTGTACGCAAGAGGTGGTCGATGACGCTAATGGCGCGGGGGAGAGGCACTGGCAGCGTTCTTGCGGAAGGTAGTAGCGTATCATGAGGTCCCATTTTGCGCGCGTCGGTGGTGGCTTGGTACGCGGTATTCTGAGGGCGCTGTGCGATGTGTGAGCTCGGGCCACGAGGAAGACAGTCGCCCCAACCGGCGGTAAAGATTGAGCACGTCTTTCTGCAGACCAGATCTTCGAACCGACATTTCTGGACGCTGAAGAGGATGACGGTTCTGATAAACAGCGACAATCAACGCCGAGGGCCCAAAAAGGAAGGAGCTTTCCGATCAAGCTTCAACCGGCCGTACAGTTGTGCGTCAGTTAAACGATACCGGTTGAGGACTGTAAGCCTACGAAATGCTTCTGGCGTCCGCCCCAACCCCTACAGCCATCTGCACGTATTCGGAGTTGAGACTTGGAGAAACCGGATTCCTGATACTTAATGCAGAAGCACGTTCCCTTTCCCCGCGCCCCCTCCGGCGCCATATAAGGGGACAAATATTTACTCTGGGGCACGGAGTGTGCCCCGGTACGTCCTTGTAGATGCAAAGTGCCTGTGAGTGAATTCGAACTTACGGCTGATCCCATCAAATAAACAAAACACTTTCCCCCTCCGCTCCCTGGCATCGCAGAGGGCTACAAATATTTGAGGGGGTGCGTAGAGTGTGCCCCAGTACGTCCGCGTAGATCCAAAGTGCCTGTGACTAAATTTGAAGACGTTACGGCCGATCTCGGCGTTTGTCGGAGATGTGGAACAGTTCGTTCCTGAGGCTAAAATAAATTGTTCTGAAGGGAGCAAAATGAAGCTGAAAGGAGCCAAAAGGTTCTGGATGAACTGGGAATTGAACCCAGCACCTCCCGCAGAGCTGCATTACGTAATACGGTGCGGTGCGAAGCGGGCGCGATAACCAACTACACTATTCACCCGATGTAGGCTGTCGTGAACAATAACCTGTAGTGGGAGGGCACTGGAGAACAATTTGAGCAACCACCAAAGGTCCTATCACAGGAAAATCAAAATTTGATGGCTCTCCGACGCCTTGAACTTCGACGGATTTCACTCGGGATCGGTGATATAGTCCTTGACGTTACGTAAAGGCTCCGTGTGAAGTGGTTTGGCCTGGGGAATTGAATTGAAGCCATGTTGCAGCTGCCAAGGGTGCCATCAAAATTCTCCTGTATTTCGCCTTATTTTGAGGACAACTGGGCCTTCTTGGCACTGCAAGCTAAACTAGTGGACTCTGAAGACGCAGGAGGTCGTCTGTGTACTGGACTCCTGAATAAATTGAGACAGGACACATGTACAAAAAATAAGTAAGTCTGTGGGACTTCCGTGTTTCCGCTCCAAGGAAGCCACGAAATTCCACTAATACAACGATCCAATCATTTACGGAAGGGATGCAACCCTCGAAGGACACGATACCAACGTTTCGATGAAGCAGATCGAGACCTGGACATATTCCTTCGCAGCCTGCACGAAGTACTTGATGGGGTAGGCAAGCCACCTCCCGGTGATGTGATAGACTGCCCTGTGGGACGCGAGGGCGACCCAGATGATACAGGAGGGGTCGCTGGTGGGGACACTGAATCACCGCCAGACGCAAAGGCCGCGATCGGGGGGCCGGGGAACGTGTAAGGTGCGCTGGGGTTGGAATATACCTGTGGCGATCAAAAATCGTGAACATTTACAACTTGAATCTAGACTCACGTCGACGAGAATACCAGGGTCGGTGGCCGAGTACGCTCCTGGAATTTTCACCAGTTCACCAGAGGTCGGCGCCCCGGTGCCCGAACCGCCCACTTGCAGCTGAGTGCAGCTCGCATAGAATTCTGCACCACCCTGTGATACACCATTTTGCAACGCAATAATCTCATGGCGCATCAGGTAATTTCCCGCGGCGAGATTAGAGGGCAGGGACAAAGTCGCAGGAGCACCCGTGTCTACACCGCACGCCTTGTCATCAGCATTTCGTGGAAGAATTCGGCTGGAGAGACCTACTCATTTCGGCCTGAGCCCACTGTCCAGTATTGTCGCGGCCGATTTGTTGAATTTTAAACCACATCGCCCCCGAGGTGTCGAACTGGCTGCATGGCGCGCTTCCACAGCTCGTCAGGTAAGTGAGCATGGGACCGACGTTGTGGAACCACGCGCCCTCGGTAGACACCCAGAACACGTCGACGGTATCCCCCGGGTTCGCGTTGGCCATGTCTTCGGCTGGTTGGGCATCCGGGCCACAAGCAAGATTGGGGTCAGATACAGAGGTAACAGGTGAGTTGGTGTTGACCAGCCGAATGGCGGAAGGCGGTCCCGATGTTCCAGGCGGAGATCCCTGGTAGGTGGTTCCCGCTATCTGGACGCTCCCCACCCACCCGTGGGCGGCAACCCGTGCAGGAAGGGCAACGAGTAGAATGGACAGGTACACGAGCAGATTCATGCGCATGGAGGAGCGGAAGAATGGAATGAGGACCGGTTACCGCATGTTCAGAAATAAAAAATCGTCTTTTCTCCCAGCCTCGAGGTCCTCGTGGTAACAAAGTTCCAGAAAGCTTAGACTGCCCACAGAGCGCGTGGCAGACAAAGCACAAGATTCAGCCATTCCTATTCGAATTGAGGTCCACGAAACAGGCGCCAGAGGTCAAGTTGAACCAGACAATGTGGCGGTGTCAGGTGCATGGATGATTATTTAACGAGTCGGCTATGTACCAACATTACTAGAGTATGTACGATATTATAACGCTTGGTGCGATGCAGAGAGGTCATGTGTTGTGTGAATGCATATAAAAACGAGAATGTGCAAACCGAAATTATGCGTGATGTGAATGCTGCGATGAAGAGATATTGATGTTTGTGAATGCAGAGTGAGGAAAATGCGAGTGTCGTTCAGTCGTTCATTCATTCGTTGGTCGGTTTGTCGAGTCGGTCGTTCATCCGTGTCTTCATGGCATCGTCTTGCGTCTCTTTCCCCGTGAAACCTTCTGTTGCACATACTCGTCGTCCTCACCGTCGCTCTCAGAAACATCATCCCCAGCCACAGCGCGGAACATGCGTTTCTCCGAGTCAATCTCACGCAACGCGCGCAGATTCGTCGCAAGCGACCGGAAAAAATCGCTCTGGTGTCTACTGTCAGCCAAAGAAACCACATGCATGCCACGCACGCACCTTGCCCAAACGTATCTTTACCCCAGACGCCGCGGCCTTCTCCTTGTCCATCGCTTTCTTCTTCTCGCGATACTAGGCAAGCATACACGTCAGCAATCGCTGGATTGCAGACGCAAACCACCAACGCACCTTGCGCTGCTCCTCCTTCAACAAGACCCCGAGCGCCTTAATCCACGCCTCCAACGCCGTTTCCACTCTCTCCACCTTCGCCACCTTGCGCTTCAGACCGCCACCAGGCAATCTAAACTCTGCAAACTCGTCATTGCGGTCCTCTTCGTCCGCGATCGCCTCGTCGTCCGAGTCGGGCACCACATACGAACTGACCACTGTCGTCGAGCGCCGCGGCCGCTTCTTCCCGCGCGGCGGCGACGATGTAGTCTCGACCTTGACGTCCGGTTCCGTTTTTCACGCGAGGCGGCGTTCCCGGTGCCGGCGCACCTTCCCTGGTTCTTCCCTTGATCTTATTCAACAGCAGCCGCGCCGAATCAGCGCCAGCCAGATAGTCGTTCTCCGTCGCGTAGAACGGTGCACCCTCCTTGATGCGACCGTACAGGTAGAAATCCTACGCTGCAAGTCAATATACTTCCCGAACTGCAGAGTATCTACGCACTACAGAATGGGCTGCCGATTTTAGCCAAAGCTTGAAAGTGCTTGAGGGTGATAGGAACAGGGACCGAGTTTGAGGCCAGGATAAACGGCCAAGACCTACCAAGAACAATTAGGATCAGTCATCAAAAGTCCGTGTCGACACCGACAACAGTACCGAGTGATTCCCATTCAGCACCGCATGCATGAGGTATGTCGCTGTGACGCTGCTATACGCTCCAAACTCGTTCTTGACCCATTTCGCAACGGACATGGAATCTAGCGGAAGATCCATTTAGTTTGGGCGATAGCAAGAAAAGAGCGAGAGAGCTTACCGGGCAGCACGCGTGAGCTAGTGTTGAGCGAGGTACCGTATACTGATCGGATAATAGCGCCGCCGTGCGCGCCCGCCCTGCTCATCGCGCCGGATCATCGTAGAGAGTGGTTCGAGTCCAATCCGCCCGAGATCGTGAGATGGGAGCTGCGATCTTCCCGCCTCGCTATGTCCCGCTCTCCGACGTACTCCCGTCTGACATTTCACTATCGCTGTCCAACTCGTCGTCGTCCTCATCTTCATCCTCATCCTCATCCTCATCCTCATCGTCTGCTTCCTCCTCGAAATCCCATTCGCTGTCACTCGCCTCACCCTCGGAGACCACAATCCCGCCGGGGGAGCCCCGCGCCAGCTGGGGACGCCATGACTCGTCCCCATCGGTCACCGCCCCTATCCTGTCCATCTTGACTTCATGATCCTCCAGCACCGCCTGGATGATGCGCCCCCGGACGGTAGGATAGGCGTCGCAGAGCCGCTTTAGCGTTCGGCCCTTGCTCTCGCGCGTCGTAACAGCGCACCGCTACTTCCTCCGCGAGCGTGCGGAGCTCCGTCGCCGTCGGCTTACGCGTACCCTCAGCGCTCTCTCCGCTCGCTATGCCCTCACGGCGCATGTACTCGATCAACGGCGCGTGCTTCTCGACGAACGCGCTAAGCAACACGTCGGCGGCGTCCTTGATGCTGAGTGGGCCGAGCCGTAGTGGCGCGAGACGCGCGGGCATGGCGCTTACACCAATAGGCGGTTCTGCCGCAAAAACGGTGAGCAGCATGGCGCGGCGCACGGTCGGGTCCTAGAGTTTAGGTTGAGGTTCGTTTTATCTCGGTAGGGAGGAACATACGAGCGTACGCGCGTTGGACATAGGCACGCGAGGAGGATGCTAAAGCGGCAGGGACAGGCGGCGGCGCGAGAAAGTCGGTATACAGCTGCGTCAGGATCTGGGTCGTGGCTGAGGTTGTGATCGCGCGCGCCTTGCTGTAGAGCTGACGAAATTCCGTTAGAAGCGCGTTTTCGGCCCGTTGAAAAGCACATACCTTAATCACAGCTTGCACAAGCTCCCTGGAACCAAAAACGGTGAGAAAAAAACACAGCAATGATGAAGGCGACATACCGGAGTGCAAAAGGTAAATCGCCGGCACGATCGAGTTGTTTCAACGCGCCGTACGCGGCCTCGTTTGTTTTGACCTCCAGGCAGACTTCAGCCGCGACTGTACGCGTGACAAACATCCTGTGCACGCGTCAAAACCAATTAATTGATTGGGACGGACGGAGCACGTACTGGGAATCAAGACGACAGAGTTCGCGCACATTCGCGACAATTTCTTCCGTGTGGGCCGCAGTAGGGGCGGCGGTGCGCTCGAACATTTTACGGAAAACAAAGTCGCGATACTGGACATGCTGTGAGGATACCAAGCAGGATGTAGAAGGAGATGCATACCTTGGCGTCCATCTGAAAGCCGTTCGCGGCGGCGTATGGGAGCAAGCGGGGTTCAATTGCAAGAGCGAGAGGGAATTGCGCCATGAGTGGGTCGCGGTGGCAGAAGGGCATGAACTGTGGAGGCGATGAGTCGGTAGCTAGATAGAAGTAAGAATAGCAAGCAAAAGCACATGGTAGGTTTCAAAGATATCGCGAATGGTCTCCCAAGACACGCGCTGCTGACTCTGCGGGCATCCTGCTTTCCTTGATGAAGGTCGAAAAAAGCCATCCGTCGTCTTCATTCTGTACGATGGTCATTTATGTATTGTGAGCAGGAGCGGTGGCACGAGCCTTGGCCCGGGGAATTTCTCCATACTTGTCGGCGCCAAGGATGAGGAGGTGGGAGAAGGTGGCGAGCGGAACATGGCGAGCCCAG